ATGTGTCTGATGTGTTCTGATGTGAGCTTTGAGATCATTAATAATGTTGCCTTAGACCTCACCAGGCCAGAAAGAGTCAGAAAGGGACCAAGAGGAAGTCTAAAACAGATTTTCCTGGAAATCTATGTTTTAGGGTTAGTTGATAGATTTTCAGCTACATAATTGTATTCTACTAACCTAGAATCATAGTCTATGTTGAGGGCTGGCTTTGAGACTAGATGCCTACCTGAAGTTTGAAATATGCCTTCCCTACTTACTAGACCTGTAACCTGGGACAGGATCTAAATAGATCTAATTCTTTCATCTATAAGGTGGAGATAACCTTGTTCAGTAGAGCTCAAACTAGCTTGATTTTAGGATATTAAGTTATTTGCTCCAAGCCAGGCTACTCATATGGATAGTTAGAAGGTGCTGGGACACTAGCTTTAGTAATGAGATGTATTTACATGCCCCTGATGGGGAGTGACTTTATTTGACTGTGCTCATGCCTTGAAGCTTTTTAAAAATAAGAACACAAAACTACAAGTGAAAAATTTGCCTATTCTAAAAGCCCCACTCATGAGTAGTGGACTAATATTTGCCATACATCATCTGTATAGCTGAGGCCACCCACGGTCACCTGCTTGCCATAGAAAATGGGCAAACGCATTTTCCTAGATAGAGCACTCCACAATCACCTGGCGAGACATCTCCCAGTTCCCACCACTTCAGCCCCTCCTCCATCATCACCTGGGGAGACATCTCCCAGTTCACACTACTGCTTCAGCCCCCTCCTCCATAATCACCTGGGGAGACATCTCCCAGTTCCTACCACTTCAGCCCCTCCTCCATCATCACCTGGGGAGACATCTCTCAGTTCCTACCACTTCAGCCCCTCCTCCATAATCACCTGGGGAGACATCTCCCAGTTCACACCACCACTTCAGTCCCTCTTCCAGCTCACGCCCACTGCTCTGTCTCCTTTATATGTCTGACTACACTTCCCCTATAGCATGGCCACAAGTTCCTCATGTTGCTCTCTGGTCTGGAATGTTCCCCGCCCCCTTTTCCTTCCAAATACCCACCATTCAAACATGCCTTAAATCCCTTTCCTGGACTTTTGCTGTCCTGCTCTCTAAATCCCAGCAAGTACATAGCTAGGAATTCTTGGCGGCATGACTTTAGCCAAAGGATAGGTGTATCTATCTGTCCTACTGCTGCCTGTCCACTCACCTTTCCACCTGCCTATCTGTCTCCTTAGAATTTACAACTAGATCCATGTTTGCCTTTTGGATGCTGCCCATGTCTGGCATATGGGAGTATTTAATATAAAATGGCTTCTGCTGGAGCTCAAATGATTAATTACACCGTAAGTATTTTCATTAAGCAAAGGCCAAGATCACTGGATTTTAAAGAACTGTCACACATATAGTAGGAAAGGAAATGCCAGACATTTCCACTTTTGTGTTAGCTAACATTGACTCTTCTGAGCATAACTCTTAGGCTGATGGGCCAGTGAAATGTCCTACGGCTGCTCAATTATAAGTGAGCCCTGGAAGCATTTCTTTGAAGAACAGTTATTAGGGCTTGAGGAAGAAGATGCTGGTCTCAGATTTCAAGGTATCAGTGTTTCCTAAAAGAGTCTTCCTCACTGACTTTAATTTCAAGAGCCCCTTTCCAAGAGCCAGGCCTCCTTTCCCGCTTATATAGCGAGTTACTTTTCCTACTGGCTCCTCCGTACAGGTGGAAGCAGCGAGTGGGTGGTGCTTACCTATTTAGAGTTCCACATCTCAAAATATGAGATTTGCAAGTTTAACACCATCTACTGTACTGTGCTGAGTTGGCTTCATTCAAGTTTTCAGTTTTAAAGTCAATGCTCATTCTAATGGCTTCTCTACATACAATTCATCCTTGTCTCTTACACCGGATATGATGGGATATGGCACCCAGGGCAGAGACCCTTACCTAGTAACCTTGTGAGTTACGGTTCAGTTTCATCATGGTTCACATGACGCATTTTATGGGTTATTCCCTGAAAGCTTGATCGAAAAGATTATTTCTACAGAAAACTTCATGTCCTGCTACCAATCTGACAGGTTGTAATTCCATTGTATTATAATAAGTTAGGAGCTACCTGAAGTATAAAAAAATGAAAGCAATCAGTTTTAGTTATCCGTTGAAGACCATCCAAGCCCTATAGAGTTTCTCCCTTCCGTACAAAATATATTTTACTGGTTTGGGTGACCACTGCCCCTAGTTTCCACAGACCTGTCTGCTGCCATTATGGACATCTGGCACTTTAGACTTCACCTTTTCAGCTCTCAGAAGCGTCAAGTTTCCCCGTTAGCCTTAAAATGCTGTAGCATCTGTATATTGCGCACTACAGACACCACCCTACACTGTCTCTAACCAGACAATGGCAGGAAGAGGCACAAATGAACAAAGGGGGCGAGAGACAAAGTCTTGGGTGCCTCCAAAGACGAACTGCAACCAAGTTTCTGAGTCAGTGTAAAATGGCCACGGGCCGTCCATCTCATAGCCGCCTTAAGACAAGCCAGTCAGTTATTACTTCTGTTTGCGTAGTCAACATCATGTATGAATTCGGGACGCTCAGTTTGCAATGGACCCAGTGGCATGGATGCAGACCCAAGAGTGAATGTTCTGAGCAGATGGACACAGCTCCTGTGCCCTGATGGACAGGGCTCAGTGACTGTTAAAGCAACAGAAGTTCTTTTGCTTAATCACTAAATCCCAAGCACCCAAAGGAAATCATAGCGACCAAAATTTATAGCACTTTTTATTTTCAAATGAGATGAAATGACTTAATGGTTTTCTATACCAGACTTAGCCAGTTGCTCCACGTACGGTGCAGGATATAAATGTCAGCACTGTGGCAGGGGTGTGTCGACACCAGTTGAGTATTTAAAGTCTGCACACTGTCATTATTTTGCCTTCCCTGCACTGACAGCTTGCTACTGAATTGAACATACCTGGAAAGAAGTCAGTTGGCTTAGGACACAGCTCAGTTTCTCTTGGGGTAATTTCTCTGTCTAGGCTCTACTGAATCTTTCCACAGGCAAAGCAGATTTGGGTGTGTTCTGCTCTCTTGAACAAACTCACTAGTCCGAATCTTGTGCACAGATGATGATGCATTATTTGAGAAGGGAGAATCCATTCCCTCTCACATCACCCTGGGCTCTATGCAGCCAATGGGATTCAGTGCTATCTTCCTTGTGTCATAGCCGATTAACTCACAGAAGCTGTAGGTTTTCCTAGGGTGTTTTCAAGCTGTGGTGATGCAATCTTGGATGGCCACTAGTCCCACCTGGAAAGCATCTAAAAGTCCCCACGCCCAGGCGACACCTCAAACCAATTATATTAGAATCTCCTGGCATGACGTCCGCTACCGTCCTAGAGGACTCCAGTCTCAAAGGATGGGTAAGCCAGGAACATGGAGGCCATGGAGCAGACCTGGTTATTACTGGCACGCGGGAGAAGAAAGGCTTCTCTTTTGTGGACAGTGGTAAACTGTTCATTGAATTCTAAAGCCACTCACTTGTGAGAATTAATGGAAAGCTCAACTTAGCCAGCCCAGGTGGATAGGATACTTATACAGCGGGCAATTGAACCTCCAGGAACTAATCAGCTTGCAATCAGCCATTGTGCTCTCTCCACTGATGTCTGAGTTAGAGAACTGTTATTATCTGCCACTGTGTTCCTGTCCCTCTGGCTGGCCCTGTAGGAATAGATGAACGAAGACAATGGCAGAGAGGGCATTTAGAATTTCTTCTGGAGAAATGTTTGTACACTCATCCTAAGCTTGTGATTGGTGTGGAACTCATTAAAGATGGGTTTACTCCATTTATTGATGGAGAGTCTTGGGACTCATGCTTGAAATTCAGGGGGTTAACTACATTCCATGTTAAACCCTAGATCACTCTAGAAATCCTCATAGAATTTTACCTTCGTGGGACTTGTGCAAGAAGCACGTCACATTTAATGTTTGCTTCCTAGTACAAGACCACAGAGTTTGGTTTTTTTCAGTCCTGGGGCTGACTTGGGCTATGGTGCTTCCTGGATGGTTGGGTGGTCATGTCCACAGCACAGTTCAAGTGCAGAACATCAAAGTCAATAATTCTAGGGGGTGGGGTATGAGTGGGTGGGAATGAGTATTTTGAGAGTGTCTATTTTTCTGTTGCTACCTTTGTTGCCTAGATACTTTCCCACCCATCTCCGTCATTTGCTATGTATCTATCTCACTTTACCCAGATGGGCTTTTGAGGAATGGAGCATAGGTGGTATCAAATCATGTCTATAATTGCTTGCTTTTAGAATGCTAGCTTTTGAGTAGTAAACGGCATGCTTGTTTAAAGTAAGAGTACCCTGTTCATTTGTTCCTTTGCTTTTCTTTGAATTAGCATCCCGGGGGGTGTTCTGAATGCTTCTATCTTTCAGCTCTGCTTGCTCTAGCCACCCTGATGTCTTCCTACCACAGAACTCTTGAACAGACTTGACGCTAGGCAGATGCTAGCCCTGGACACGGAGGCCCTTCTGGGTTCTCTCTGGCTGGGTTTTCACATATCCCCTTGCAGGTAGGGATAGAAATGCAAGAGATTTTAGACTTAAGCACGGTGAGGCACAGTAAAACAGCGATAGAAGAAGAAGAAAAAAGAAGGGGGGCTGTTCTTAGAGGGGCAGAGAAGAAATGTGTGCTCTGGTGGTGTTTGGCTGTGATGGTGGTGGTAGTGGGAGATTTATTGATGGGAATGATAAAGGGACATTATTCATAATCTCCGCACTGGACAAAGGATCCCTTGTTGCTTACAAGAAAGGCACCTGGGACCCTTGGGCAGCAGCGGGCAGAGGAGTTCCCTTAAGGGTCTCAGCGCTCTTCCCACTTAGCCCGAGAGTTGGGAGGCTCACAGCCTTCACGACTGGTCCCGGGTGGCTGCATGCCTGCGTGCGTGCGGGTGCCCTGGGGTCCACTGATGATGGCCCAGGAGGGAGGGAACGGTTCTTACAGTCACTGGTCAGTGCGAAGGGTGCGCGGCGGCGGCCAAGGGAGCGATCTTCGGCGGGCGCCTCGGGAAGCCTCTTACCGGCGGGCAGCGGGAAGGCGGACGCGGTGTGAAGCAACACCAGGCAGACAGCCACGACATCCCATAACTTCATCTTAGAATCCCGTCCAGCGGCGGCACCTGCGCGGGCGGGCGGCGTGGGGGAGAGAACCGCACCATGCAAGTTAGGCTCGGATGCCCAGGATCCTGGCGCTGCCCGCAGACCTGCTCTCAACTTTAGGCTTCTCTTCCCGCACAGCTGCAGACCCGCGTTTACCCGAGCACCCATGGTCTCCTGCTCTGATTCCCGTGCACCCCAGGTGCAGCCCGCATTCCCGACCCCGCCACTGCTGACCACTTCTCAGCCCTCCACTCCCCAGACCCCAGATTTTGGACGTAAACTTATACTACAACTTCTAACCCGCTGCTTCTACTGGCGTGCGGCACCCTACAGTCCTTCGGGGGCGAATAGGGTAGTCCCCATCCGGCTGCCTTTGCCAGGCCCTGGACAGAAACCGTCCCTCCCCACCTGGCAGCTTCCATAGTTGAGGCCTGGAAGCCAGCCTTCCACCCAAGCAAGCAACAGGAAGGATTAAAATCAAGCTCACTCCTCTGTCCCAGGCTGGGCCCTCCTTCCAGCTCGGTAGGATGCAGGCTCCAGTGCCCTGTCTGCCGCCCACCCTTCAAACAACCCGAATAAATAAAAATGTAGTCACCAGAACAAGTTAATGTGGAACTACAGACTCTGGCCTGCTAAAAGTGTCTGGGTTAAGTTACCTAACTTTGGAAGCATCGACGTGGCTTAAAATGCCAGTTCACTTCTCGGAATCATGAACATGAACTCAAGAAAAAGCTCAGCGAGGGCCCAATAACTTTTTAGCCGTTGCTAGTAGGCAGGGATTCCATATATCTTGGGCTTTTAAAAAACTCTTCCATGGTATACCCGACGATGCTCTTGATTTTATTTTCGCAGCTCTGTGAAATCTTGACTCTCACCTTTTCCCTCTCAACAGAGATTATGGCGTTCTGTGCCCTTAGCTACACCAGGACCACAGTCAGAATCCTGAACACTTTAGGAGGCCTCGACCCTCCACTATTCAAAGTCCTTTGGACTCTTAGGCCTCATATCCCTAGAAAGGGGGGCATGCAGCCTAGGGTGAGAGGGGCAAAAGGAAAGCCCTGTAAACCTGGCCATAAGTCCCAACCAAAGAGCTGGGGGTGGGGGGAGGATGAGGAGAGAGATTAAGTCACCTAAAGGTACGGTGTTACTCTCTCTCCCAGTGTTCCAGAGTTTGGGGGGGGGAGCACTGCCTGGAGAGCACTCTCAAATCAGAAAATTCACACATTTGATAAAATAACCTTGACATTTTCCGTGGGGGAAGGCAAAACAGTTTCCAGGTAAATACCAAAACCAAAACCTCTTGGCAACGTTCCTGTTAGTCTCCAGGCACTTCCCTTCCTCCTTTCTGGGGTACATCCTCCCGCCCCTCACAATCTCCACCCAGAATTCCAGTCTAGGCCCCTTGATAAGGCCACCAGGAAAGCGTTTAATTCGGCCACCACCTCCCACCGCCGCGGAGACGAATTCATTTCCATCCCCTGGGCGTCTGTTGCCTCCGCAGCTGTTGGGCTCGGAGACTGGGAAGCGACAGAACCACACAGCGCCGAGGTTCCGGCTGCGCGGGCTGGCTTGTACACCCCAGAGGAGGGAAAAAGACGCTTCTGGTTCCCTCCCCGCGCGCAGGCCCAGGAAAACTCCCAGGCAGTGCAAAGGCAATGCAGAGAGGCGCTTCGTGAGCCGGAGCGGGGGAAGGCGAGGCCTCCCGCCTCCGGGGTGCCAGCTCTGCCAGCTCCCGGGTGCGTGCGAAATGGCTGGCGATCCCGAGCAGCAGGGACGCGCGGGGTTAAGGCGCCGTCCCGGGTCGCCGTGCTCGCCAGCAGGAAGCTGCGAAGGCACCAGATTTCCCTTCTGCTTTACGAGGGTTTCCTCCTTTTTTCCAGTTTGGCTCACGGAGGGCTTTTAAAATTGGATGTGAAGAGCCTCGGTCAGAAGTGTGGCGGGCGACGCTGGCAAAGGAGGAGAACACTGGGACATTCACTCTCTGCCTCGCCAAAGGAGGCTCTCCATCTCATCCTAGGCCGGGAGTCCAGGGCGCCCCGAAAGCGTTCCCCCCTCCAATCCCGAGGCGAAGCGGGCGCACTCTTTATTGAGAGCCCCGGGGCCCGCTCCTCTCTGAGCCACCTTCTAGTTGGTGGCACTTGCTTCCCTCCCTCCCCCCACCCCTGCTCCACACAGCGGGGGCTAAAGATGGGGTGTGCGTCTCCTAGGAGGTTCTTCTCAGGAATCTGTCGGGGCCCCGCCTCGAGGCAACCCTGCTTATCTTCCCCAAAGCCGCTCTCTTCCCTCAAAGCACCGGCGGGACCAGTCCTCGCCACGCCTGGCCTTTGCCGCGCGTGCGAATAGCTTAAGGCACCAACCGACCCGTGCAGGAACCAAACTTTCACTCCGAGGTTGGTTTTGCCAAATGACCCCTCGTTCTCTCTCGGGATTGAAAAACGGGTTTCCCTCTCCATCCTGGACCAGCTCATCTCAGCAGGGCAAAATTATTGGTGCCACGCACGTGGGTACCCGGTGGGTCCCAGGACTTTGGGTTAAAGGATGCGCGGAAAGCCGCGGTAATGACTGCCTAACCGCCGCTCGCCGATTCTGAGTTCCCGGCACCAGGGGGCACCAGAAACCGCTCGGGCCTTGTAAGTGCTTGCGCGGCGGGTAGGCTGAATTGTCATTTTAAAATATAAAACCCTAGAAGAACCACTGTGTCTACCATCTATCCCCAAACTAACTCGGGGACCTGTAGGCGTCCTTATGCGAATCCTCACTTTTGAGGCTTCTACTCTCCCGCTCCTTCCCCCCCATTCCCCTTCTCCGCGCTTCACCTGAGGTGGTTTCTTGGCAACCTGCTTTTAGACACCCTGATCCTCTGTCACAGAAACAGCTTTTGAAGTGGGTGATTGCTCCCGTCGCCAGCCGGTGCCGCCGCACCTTTTGTGGGGGCGGGATGGTAGGCTGGGAAGTTTGCTTGGGATTTGCTTTCTAGACCTGGAGGCGTGGGAGGAGAGTGCACTCTGAACTCGGGTGTCTCCTCTAGGGTCCAGACAGACATTACTAAAAGAGCTGTTGCCTTTATCTTCTGTGCTCAGTGTCCTCGACTAAGGACGCATTCTTTTACCACTTCCCCATAACTGACCAGCCCAAGATGGAGAAAGGGGGGGAATTCGGGGTGCTTTGGAGAAAGGGGGAAACATATGGGATGATTCTGGAAGGCAAATTAGAAGGGGGTCCGTTTGTTAGAGTTCTAGGCCCAGGAGCACTCCAAACTCTTACAACAGTAACCTAGAGACGCTGCGGGCTTCCTGGACGCTAGACACTTGCCATTTGTTTAAAAAGACACCTCCCCCACCAAAGCGCAGAGAAATGGAGTGGGCATGGTCAGGGCAAGAAGGAAACAGCGAATCCCTCTTGGAAGGCTTGGTGGGAGGAGGTGCACGCTTATGGGGGTTAGTTGGATTGCCCCAAACAAACACAAATTCAAAATACGGAGGAAGCGAGAGTCTGGCGCTCTCTCACACATTCCCTGAAGGGATTGGCAGAGTTGCATTTATCCTGGTCAAACAGCACAAACTTGGCGAACTCCGGGCTTGGGCACGCTCATCCGCTCTGAAGGCAGATCCTGCCACAGGCGAGGCTCCAGGCAGAGGAACCCTGATTCGTGGGTTCCTTTTCCCTGGGTGGGGCTGGAAACCAACCCATTCAGGAATCTACCCTACGAAGTGGTACAAAGTGTGTGTGTGTGTGTGTGTTGGGGGGCGGAGGGAGCGGGGGGGGGTTCTTGGGGGGATAGAGACCCAGAGTCGCTGGAGAGAAGAGAAAATTAAAACAAGCACCTCGAAGGCCTAGCGGAGACCTGGAAGGTTCTCAAAAGTCTTTCGAGACAGAACCCCGGGGCCGAGTCGCTGTCAGGAGCCCTTCTCTTAATCTTGATCCGCATAAGGGCATTAACAAAGTACTAGCAAAAGGCCCGAGAAGGGTAGGCATGTAGCTTTGCAAGATTTCGCTAGAGGAGGTGAACCTCTATTTTTAGGCTCACAGCACCTTTGCAGCCCTCCTTCCCCGAGCTTAGCTTTCTTCCAGAACAGACCGAAACAAGCTCAACAGTAAGTTACACTCCGAGCTATGATAACGCTGCAGTTGCACTCTGGAAAAGACACTGGCGGCGATGGGTTAGTGAATAGCCAAGTCTTCCACGGTTCCAGGACCGCACAGAGCAGCGCCCTACCAGGGTGGGTCATGGGAATAACCCTCGGACCACCAGCCTTTCAGGGTCCCAGGGCACCAGGTGCTCCATAGACTTTTTTTTTTCCCACGCGGAAAAGAGAACGTACCCTCGGCAAGGCTAGCGTTCCTCGGATCAGCTTGTCTCTTGAGCTCTGGCTAGCCTCCCTACTTTACACTCAGTATCCTGCTTGGGGTTCAGCCGCGCCCTTCTGCCCTCAGACAACACCGTTGCCGCCCGCCGGGTCCCCTCCAGCTCGCTTCTCCCTTCTTACCTCGGATCCGGTCTCCGTAGACCCCCAGTTGGACATTAACTCCAAGTGGCCCGAATCCCAGCCAGGAGACCCATCCGGACCGCGGGCAGGAGCGCGGGGCCCCGCCCAGAAGGTCGGGATCAAGAGTACGCAATCCAGGGGTCGCGCCGGACAGCGAGGACACGCAGGAGGCGGCGGCCACCGTGCCAGCCGCCGCCGCCGCCACCGCCACCGCCGCGAGGAGCGAGAAGGCTGCCGACACCTCCCACACCGGCCTCCTGGACCCCAAGAAGACCAAGTCTGAACAGCAGCCCCTGCTGTGGCTGAGGGGTGACACGGCTGCGCGCGCGGAGCTCTGGGCTGGAGCTGCACCGGGCTGGGGCGCTGCGGGTGGCTCAGAGGCAATCGCCTCACTCTGCACCTCCTCGGGGCGCGGTGGCTGAGAGTATGAGGCGGGCCTGTCTGATGATGCCGAGGTCTTGCCTGGAGATCCGAACGAGACACCACGTCAAATCGTGCTGGCAGTCCCTTGAAGACATGAGGGCGCCAGGAGTGCAGGCTGGTCCTGGAGAGCCCGGGCCGGGGGGCCGGGGTTGGGGAGTGGGGGGCGCGGAACCGGGACGGGGGGGGGGTGGGGACGTCCGGAGGCAGTGACGGCCTGGGCTTGGGGGAGGAACGGAGATCCGGGGAAGAGGCGCTGGAGCTGCTGAGGCGCGGGCTTGGGGTGCGAGTGGGTGACGCGGAGCGCCCCTCCTAGGGGTGCAGGAACCTCCGCGGGGCTCGCTCCTTCTAGCCGGGTAGATCCACAGAAACGCGAAGAGCTTAGCTCACAGCAGCCCCAGGGGACAATCGCAACTTGGTGGCGACGTCCGGAGCTCCGAAGGAGGGCGCTCTGACTGCTGGAGGCTACTCTGAGGCTTCCTTCGCGCCCTTCGAAGGCTGTCCTTCCTCCTGGACTGTCGCGCCCTCCCGCTTTTCTGCAAGGCAGAAGGCTGTGTCAAGAAGACAACTGCCTGCCGAAGTTCTCCCAGCACCGAGAAGAAGCGCGGAACAGCAGGGAGAGGAGAGCAGAGCGTTTGCCAAGGGACGCTGCGAGTGGGGATGCATTTATAGAGCGCTCACTGCGTGACGTGCCCTCCAGTGGCTTTTCTGATTCGCTTTCTGACCTAAACACACATTAGTTTAGTCCCCATGGTAGGGCCAACACGGTCTCTAAATATCTGCTGGCTGAAGTCAGAGGCTTTGCATATCATGTATTACATGGCAGGCAGTGAAGAAGGCTTTTGAGGCTGGCCGACTGCTCAGTCCTAGGCTCCGTTTCCATGTCGTTGTAATATAATACCAGACTTGGGGTAGGCACATACATTCAAAATCCCAATTCCAGAGGCGTAAGATCACTTTATCAGGAAGAGGTCAAGGGAGGTAGGGCAAAACCTGCCTTGGTCCAGAGTTTTGAAAAAGTGTTTGGGGAACCTAAGGGAGCAGAGGGCTGGGTCCAGCAGTTTGCAGCGAGATGGACTCGGCCTTCCTTCCAGAGCTCTGAGAAGGGGAGAGGTAGAGACCTTTTCAGCATTCCTCCTGTTGTTTAGCTGAGCACCAGAAGCAGCCAGGAACCTTCCTGGTAAAGGACAAGGGGAGGACAAGTCCTTGCACACCCTACGCATGGCTGAACTGTAAATACGTTCTCTTCACAGAGGCATGGAGTTTACTCTATCTTTGATATAGGCTAAATAAGGTACGTCTCTGCTCAGGGAAACCTGTTCGCTAGAAACCACTGGACCTGAATTTAGGAGGCTCTCTTTAATTTTCTTAGTCGGCGACAGGGAAAGCATAAACAGGCTCACTTTACATCTATGCACATCTTATTTCATGACTCATCCGGTTGTTGGGGAGTATGTGTCCCCGAAGAAGCCGAGACAATAGATAGGGAAATGTGTGTGGCAATGTGGGGGGAAGATCACATATTATTACAAGTGCTCAGAGTCAAAGATCAGCTCCTTTGGAGGCTTGTCAGCGGAGTTGGCGTGGGCGGAAAATTGTTCTTACTAACATTACTGTGATTGAGAGATTAAACCAAGTGCAAAGCAAGCCTTCCAAACACACCTCACCTGGAAGCAGGATGCTCTCCGCTGTCTGCACAATGTGATACTTCTTTCTTTATAGAGGCATGGTAGCAGAGTATCTTAGGTTGGGCCCAAGGAAAAGCTCAACATATTCATTCCCAGTTTAGCATTATTTGGAATATGAAGCTGACTTTAATCAATATTTCTCTCTTCTTCTTCCTCTTCCTCTCTCTCTCTCTCTCTCTCTCTCTCTCTCTCTCTCTCTCTCTCTCTCTAGCATAAGTGATTTCATTCTAAGGCTTTTTTCGCCCTGGGCTTGGGCAGGCCCTCCAAACACCTGCAATTTTTATTTATTTATTTAATTTTATTTTATTATCATTATTATTTTAGCGCTTGCTGTATGCTAGAGACAGTGCTAGGCCTTGAGCATTGTTATGATTGGATGAGGGGCTGCGAGGGACAGATGCCACCGGTTTAGCTGTGAAAGGAAGGCTGACCGGAATTCTCCAGCACTCAGCCACGTGTCTCCCAAAAGCCTTCCGGAAAGGCCGCTCAGCCAGGTCTCACGAAAACTGGATTGAAGTCCAGGAACTGGAAGGTCATTCAGGATGCAGCTCCGGGCTGGGGTTATCTTGCGGCCCCCTCAGCAGCAGGCATCTGCTTGTCCTACTAACGGGGCTTAGCCGCCAAGGCGATTCAGCTCCTTGTTCCCTGATTTCCTCCCGGTGTCCTTTGGCTTCTGCTCCTGCCACCAACTGTTCAGCTCTCTGGTGACCTCACGTTGAAATTTCTTTAGTGAAAGCAACTGCGGCTGCACACTCACAGAATATTTGAGCCGGACTGGCCGCTTTCGTCAGGCCTCCTCATAGACTGCAAGTCACCCTGGAGACGGGCAGACCCCTGATCAGGTACAATTCCTGGGCCAATTGTCTGAGTCCAAGCTGTTTACATCTCAGAGTGTACAGCCCCGGCCTTTTTGCCGAGGAATCTTTCTGGGGTCCTTTTGTACCTTCCCTTCTCAGTGGCTGCTCACACAGAGAGAGCTGTGTTAATGGCCAGCATTTGGAGTTTTAACTACCCCGTGCCCGGTACAGGAGTCTGTTAAATGAGGTACAACTTCCTTCCTCTATAAACATACCCATCCATATTAGTTACTTTCTTCTCACCGTGACCAGTGCTTGAGGAGAAGCAACTTAAGGGACTAAAGACTTATTTTGGTTTCATGGTGGGGAAGGCATGATGGCCAGGGCTTCAACTATGCTGGTGGATCAAGAAGCAGAGACAGCCCATAAGCTCCACCCCTATGACACCGGGGCAGTATTCCTGCCAGCTGGGCATTACATCCAGTTGGTTCTACAACCTCTCAAAATAGAGTGGCCGGTGTGCAAACACAGGCATCCGGGGGTGGGGGATTTTTGCACTCCAACCATGGCATTGTTCATAGAAGGGCCCATGTGCAATCATGGTGTGAAATAAAATGAGAACCGGTTTGATGCGTCTGCTCTGCACGCTGCTGGCGAAACCCTGGAGAAAGCATAAAATATGCCCAGACCACCCTAGGCTTTGGAGTGGACAAGTACCCCCCATCTCTGCTTAAAGATTTACTTTATTTTTATCCACGTGTGTGCAGGTGCCCATGGAGGCCAGAAGAGAGTAGCAGATGCCCTGGAGCTGGGTTACAGGTGTGAAGCCGGGCAGGCGTTGGCAGCCGAGAAGCAAGAGAAGCCTTCTCCCCAGCCCCCTAAGCCAGTGTCTTTTGAGTAGCAGATCCCAGAAGGCCTGAAAAACTTTCCCATGTTTATTGTTGTGGTCGTTTTACAATTCTTTTTCTTTAAAGCAAAAGTAGGAAACGTACTTTGAGGTCTTCTAGGACAAGAGGCTGCCTCTTGACATAGAAATTATCTTCAGTTGTAGCATAAAGGAAACTGAAGACGCTTTTAGGATTGGTTTATGTTTGCACATGGGTGTCTTGTCTGCATGTCCAGCTGTACACCAGAAGAGGGCATCAGATCCCACGGGACTATAGCTGTAGAGGGTTGTGAACGGTGGCGTGGGTGCTGCGAATAGAACTCAGGTCCTAAGGAAGAACAGCCAGAACAGCCAGTGCTCTCTGTGTAACCCTGGCTATCCTGGAACTTACTATGGCCAGGCTTGTCTTGAACCCACAGAGATCTGTGTGTTTCTGCCTCACAAACATTGGTATTAAAATCATATGGCACCATACCTGGCCAAACTGAAGATATTCAACTGAGAGTTGAAATAAATCTTTCTAGTTTTGAGACAATATTTATGTCCAGGATTACCCCATGCATACAGAACAGTTTCTTTCTTTCTTTTTTTTTTTTGTTTTGTTTTTTGTTTTTCGAGACAGGGTTTCTCTGTGGCTTTGGAGCCTGTCCTGGAACTAGCTCTGTAGACCATGCTGGTCTCAAACTCACAGAGATCCGCCTGCCTCTGCCTCCCGAGTGCTGGGATTAAAGGCGTGCGCCACCACCGCCCGGTTCTTTTTCTTTTTTTAATGTACACTTCAGACACAGATTAGCAAGAAGCAGGCATTTAGTGCGGCTTGCTGTTGCAACTCTGTACCCCAGCAAACCGGAAGGGGAAGACCCCATAGCTCTGAGGTTCCATCATCTCGAGGACAGGAGGATCTGCAGGGCTTGAACCTATTCCTGGCAGTGTATGGAAGACAGCGATTTTGGCTCCCAGTGCAGTGTTTTCTGATTAAGTAACAATGACAGCAGCCCTGGATTCTTAACGTTGTCCCCGAATTTCTACTTTTCATCTAGAAAACCTTGCCCAGGGGTCAGAGGAAACCAACGCTCACACCTCTTCTTCTAGAGCACCAATTTGAATCCCTGACTAACTTACCACTGCACTCATTTCTTCACGGGATCTCTAAGCTGAAGATGTCTGAACATATGGTACTGCCTATGTTCCAGGGTCTTAGGTCCCTGGGAAGAGAAACCCAAAGGTAAACGACAAAGAATAATTTAAGGTAGCATAGGCTATGGAAAGATGAAGTAAGCCTTTCACCGAGTCGGTACACAGAGGAACTTGGAGGAGACTCACGCAGAGTGTGCCTGCATTCTTACTCAAAGTTTTTAGAAGTAGAGGGGTGGGGGTGAGCCTGTGGCCATTCCCAGAGAGTTCCATAGAGGGTGGGTGAGCCTGTGGCCATTCACAGAGAGTTCCAGAAGAGTTCTCAATGGGATTTTTTAGCTGCTGTGCCTGTGAGGGTGGGAACTGGACTCCCCTGTAACTTGGGTCTTGACGGTTGAAATGGAATCCATCTTTAAGACTGGCAATTTCCTTTTAGAAGTCACCACTTTATGGGGCAGGGAATTATCCCATGCTTGTTTACTCCTTGCTGGGCATTTTCAATGTGTCTTTAGACCACTTAAAAACGAGAAATAAAGAAAAGAGTAAAAGAGGCACCACA